TTCAGCATAGCTTTAACTGTGTCATTGTATGTAACCTGTCTAAGGTATTTCTCTACCAGGAACTCAGCATTTTGTGATATAGACTTATCAATCAGTCTAGGTACTCAAGAGCCAGGATGGATTGTAAACTTTAAATCTCCCCCAAATTTCTGGTCCTCGAAGAACCTAGAGCCCTTTGCCAATGAGGAAACACAAGCCAAAAGGCCCAAACCACTAATACGTTATTTTAAAAATCCTGTCCAAATTTATTAGGTGTATCTAATATTACGATCTGGCTATACAAACGTGGTATCATTTTAAAACTCTGTTAAATGGATAGGAACCCAGGGAAGTTTCTGTTTTATGTAATTTTTCCTTCAACCAGAATTTATCTCCATATTGGTCAAATAAGTGCCAATGTGGATTTTCATCTGGACACACACACACACACACACACACACACACACACACACGGCTGTATTGTAGAGCTGACTGTCCATCAACATTTATAATTCTGGGTCATCAGTACAATCAGCAAGATTGAATGCATCCTTTGTGGTTCTAGACACTGATTTCTAAATTTACGCCAATGTACAGAGAACACAATGCCTACTTTGAAAAAACACTGGGACTGATCCAGCCACGCCCAGATTTAAGGGACAGGTAACCTTTTCTGTAGAGAACACATACCTTCTAAATAGCTCAGTGTTTACATCTGCTGGGAGCTACACCTGGAGAATTGTTTCGAGTTTCTTTCTATTGTTCTCTTTTCTTAACCTTTCATTTCCTTATACCCATGGTTTTTGGTTTTTCCTAATCCAGTGGCTAAGGAGCAGCCTAGATCAAATGAAGACTGTAAGTAGGAGCCTGCTGCAGGAACGGGGAGCAGGCCAGGTATCATACTAACAGCAGCGCTGGATGGGCGCCAAGTTGGGGGAGAAACTCAAACCAGGTGCACGTAAGATGGAAACGGAATGCAGGCGTCCACATAGGGCCCTGGTGTATTCTCTTGGAATCAGATGCGACTGCGTGATGGGCCCAGGTGGCTACCTGGAAACCAGCTTTTCTAAGGAGGAACTTTTCCCTATTAACATTCCAACTGGAACTTTGGGGCTTGCCAGTTCTAGAAGGTCTTTCTGATTCCTTTATCTTTGTTGGCCTAGCTACCGTGGAATTAGACCTCCAAGCGGTATCTTAACTACCGTCTCTCTAATCCTTACTATCCAAAATTACTGGCACCCCACCCAGATACAGGACACTTCTGTACATCCTTCCAATCGTCTCCTAACTATCTAGCCCCTCCCCAAGCCTAACCCACAACCACCCAGCAAGCTGTGTATCCTCAAATCAGCACAGTGATTGGTGGTGTGGGGTAGACATGGGGAAGACAAAGATGGCGGTCATATTTCTTAGTCTTAAGGAACCTGAACGCTGAGGAGGTAGGGCAGAGGAGACATTCACTCAACAGGAAATTATAATCCAATGCTGGCGGCAGGGGTGTTGAGTATAAGACAACCCAGCGTTGCAGTACCAACTACCAACCATTTGGGAGGTGGGGAATGGCTTCCAGAGGCGCCATCCAAGGTGAGTTATAAAGGATGAATGCGAGTTAATCAGACAGAGATGGTAGCGAGGATATCCCAGACAAGACCTCACAAAAAGTTACCTCCCAGAGTTAGGTGAAAATTGCAAAAGTGTTTAGGGCCAAGTAGTTCCTGGAACATAAAGTCTGAGGCATCAAGTAAAAAGGAAGGTAGGGAAACGGGTCAGGGAAGGAGGAGGGGAGGAGTCAGGTCATGGAGGTCATGTCACATTCAGAACTTCAACCTGATTCTCCAGATAATGAAAGGCCATTCTAAAGCTTTAAGCAAGGAAACAAGGGGTGTTCCAATAGCCTATCTGAGAGTTCTGGGCACTCACCATTGCCCGATTCTCGGAAACAAAGGTCCCTTGGGGCCTTTGCCCCACAAAATCATTTGGATCCAGATTACAACATGCCTCAAAATAAGAAAAACTGAAGCATTTAAATTAAAATTAGCTTCCTAAATGTCGGCCTGTGATCTGTGTAAACAAAGAACACATCTGTAGTCTTTTGTTTCTCACAGACAATAGAGGACCAGCTATAAAGATCATTTTTCTTCTTCCGTGTATTTTTGTGATAAACAGATATTTATGTAGGGGCACCTGGGCAGCTCAGTCGGTACAGCATGTGACTTGAACTTGGGCTTCTAAGTTCAGCCCCACATTGGGTGCAGGGATTTCTTAAAAATAAACAAATACATAAAAGGGCAAAATACTATTTTTAAAAAAATGAACAGACAAAAGAAAACTCATAGAATACAGAGAGGAGATGGGTAGATATCAGAGGGGGGAGGGGGTGGGGGTGGGTGAAATGGGTGAAGGGGGTTAATTGTGCAGGGACAGGTGGTAACTAGACTTCTTACAGCAATCACCTTGCAGTGCGTACATAAATCAAATGATTGTGTTGTACCCCTGCAACTGATACAATGTTCTATGCCAATTTTACCCCAATTAAAAAGAAAAACGATGTGTACTGTTTTCCATGCACGATACTTTCATTCATTTTATTGTCTGTAAACGTAGCAAAATATCTCTGGAAGGATTTATAAGGAAGCAATCTATCAGGAGCTGATGGAGTGTAAAATAAAAAAGGTTTGACACCTCTTGAATATATTTCCTGTTTTTTAGAAAGCGAACTTTTAAAAAAATGTCTTAAAAACAGGGACAGATATTCAGGGGGGAAACACATTTTTTGAGCGACCGGAGTGGGGGGAAATTAGTCCAATATATTAAAATTATAAATCCTGAAACAAACTCCTTGAGGTCATGTCTGTCCTCTTACAAAAGGTGCCCTCAGTCCATGGAACAGACTTGGTACAACAAAGGGCTAAATAAATATTTGTTGACTGCTGAAAATAGAAATGTCAAAATGTTCTATTAATTTTTGAAGACTTCTACTCACTGTGAGGACAAACTCCTCGAGATGGTGCACAGTGATTAGGTTCAAAGCCACAGCCTGATTGTTTCTCCCCCACCCCTCCAAGTCTTTTGTAAGAACACTGGCCATTTCCACTGGCTCATAGGAGGAAGAGCCAGACCAAAGCCAGTTCCAGATGGGGCCTGAGGAGGCTGTCACAGAAGCCTGTGTGGGGTTGGCGATCAGTTCCAGCAAGGACACCTTCCCACAATGCCAGTTAGCACAGCGGCCCTGCACAGCCTCCATGTGTTCTTCGTGTTCCAACACACACACACACACACACACACACACTCCATATTTCTGCTAACCTTATTTCCAGCTTAACATGGTCAGCTGGAGCTTACCTCCATCACCCCCCTCATTATTTTTCCCCCACCCTTCCCCTGTCCTGTCTCCTTTCTGGGATTCTGCAGGGAATCTGCTTCAGATATACAGGAAGGACGAAATGATTATTCCCTCCTTTCCTGGTGCAAGTTCAAACTTCAGGTCACACAAATCCAGGATTAGATCCCAGCTTTGCTTGGACAAGCCATGTGAAGATGGGCATATTACTTCGGTCTCTCTAAACCTCCTTTTCTTCCTATGCTCATGAGGATTACAATGACCATTTCTCCTAATTAAAAGAAATGATGCAGTATATGTATCTGCAGCAAACTATACCAACAAAAAAACAGTATTAGATGCCACGTATCGTATATTTACCTGTGTTTACGATAGTCATTTGTAAGTAATCAGGATGAACATGGACCATATTATGATACATGTTGGTTTACTTCTGCTCCTACAAGTCTTTGTGATGGGACAAATTAGTAACTCAGGGGCTACCATATACCTCTTCCCAGTCTCCTTGCCCAGACTTCCATGACCATGACTCCAGTTTGGCTCTTAGGAATGAGGAGTGATCGAGAAATGAGTAACCACATGAATCTACTTTAAGATATGAAAGTCGATTCAAACCACACTCCAGTGTGTCACCAGTAAGCCTACAAGTAAGAGCTGGGAGTGATTTCACACGCGGTAGGCACTGGGCCACCCACCCTCGCACAGGGCTGGTACAACAGCGGAAACCAGTTGATGGAGGCATCACCGGTAACAGGTGTGACAGCTCACACAGGTGTTCTCAGGCAACATACGGAAAACAGAGCTTTGAAAAGATACCTAGTGCTGAATCAGAGAGAGAATTTGGTGCTATTTTCTGCCTTCAGTCGCCTGGCACCCCTGGGACCTCTTTCCAGATTATCATACACAATGGAAAAGACTTAACAGTCTATAAAATCGAGGGGCTGCAAACTGGCATTTCTAATGATCTGTGACTTCGAAATTGAGAATTTACTTTGGATCATCCCCAGCTGTTGGTCAACCCTGTCTGTTCCAACTCATTTTACCCAGTTCTCCTGGGCAACTGCGTACCAGACTGCTTTTGTTGAACCCAGTGGATTGAGACCTGAGTACTTGGTCAGATCTTAGACTAGAGATGTTTCACCGAAGAGATCATTTATCAACATCCAAGGAAGGTTCTAAGATTCTGAAAACAGCCTCATCAACTTGGAGCGATGACTTTGAGGATCAGTGTAATACCTTGTGACAAGCTCTGAAAGAGGCACTACCTGTTAGAACCCATACATTCTAGACTGCTTATTAAAAAGCAATTCCATCAGGTTATAGCTGCGCTTCTCAAGGGCTATGAAAAGCATTCATTCACAAGACCGAGCTAGTACTTGTCAATTATACCTCAGTTAAAACAAAAACAAAAGCAAAAGACTGAGCTACAAGGGGGTAACTGTGTGATACCTTTGCCAGACGTCCTGAAGCCCCACATCCTTCTTAGATCACTATATTGCACATAGTTATGAGACCAAAGAGTTGGTACTAACCTGTCACTAAAGCAACCAGACTAATAGTTTTTCACATGCTAAAATTTTTTTCCAGATAATTTCAAATGGGTCTGTTTTCTCAGAAGAGTTCAATGTTAGTGAACTCAGTCTATGAATAAGAGAACATTGGAATGGAAATCAGCACATACCTGGGATCCTATTAAGTGTCACCCAGAAATGTTCATCAGGGCTGTAAGTATCTTTTGACCAGTGTAGGAGATCAATGGCCCTTTTGTCATGGAAGACAAAGTTGACAAACTCTCTGGTAAGGGCCACATAGGCGGTGCCAAAGTAGATGGTCAGCTGGTGTGGAGGAGAGGTTTTCAAAATATTAGTGTTCTTCACGAAAGAGCCATCTTTGCCTATGTGTTCCTGGTGGACATATTTAGTCCGCTTAATTGCGTGATCTGGAGGCAGCACCCCCGGGGTGATGTTTTTCCCTTTAAATCCTTTCAGATACCGAACTATCTCCTTGTTGGTTTTCAGAGGGAAATCTTGCCCACATGTGTTGATGGCGTATTTCCATGGCACCTTGGAGGCTACAAGGTCTTTTAGACAGTTCAGGTCAGCCTGGAGCCGGGAAATGCCTGCGTAGACCACAGGCTCTATCTTTGAAGCAACAAAAGCATTTGGGAAGCAAGTCAGTAACTGCCGTACAGATTCCTTAAACTCGGCTGGGGCTTTCTCATCCACGTGAACACAGTAGACATTTTGGGGCATATAGACAGCCCTGAAGAGCCTTTCAAAAGTATCAAAGTCCTTATGGATAACCATGACATAAGCCAAAGGGAAAGTGACTTCTTCTTCTGACAGGGGGCTTGTGATGTAGTGATTCCGGATCAGGTAGTCCTTACAAGGGACGCTTCCCAAAGGGGACGGCAAGGTCTTACCCCACAAAAAAGTTGACTTGTCTTCTAAGGCGTCATCACAGGCTTGCATTCGAAAATTCCTTTGACTGGAGCTATTCAGCTTCCCGAAACTCTTGGGCACGTGTAGCTGGCTACTATAAAGTATCACCAACACAACCACAGTGAGCAGAATGAAAGCAAAACAGCAATACCTCCAAAAGCTCATTATTTTCACTTCCTCGGGGAAGGAATCTCTCTCCAGGGATGGAGAAACGACCAGTCCCTGAAACGTCAAGCGTGAAAGAGGCTGAACGGACGGCTCTTCGCAATCTCGAATCTCGACAGCTTGTCAAGAGCCCCCCGCTTCAGTCTTCATGCGCTCCCCACTTGAGCACGGCATCCATCCTCTGGGGCGCCGGCCGGAGAAGAGATGCTTGCCGGGCTGGCTGTGCTCTTCCGACCCCCGGTGCTGAATCCCGGCCGCGCTCCGCCCCGCCCAGAGGCCCTCCTCATTTGCATACGAAATGCAAGTGGCGGATCTTAGCAAATTACCTTCTGCAATGGAATGACGGGTCCTTTGCATCCGGGCTGAGTTTCCCGAGCTTCACCCCGCCCCCCGCTTCCATCCAATCTATTCCGGTACCGTCTCCCTTCTCTTCTCAGGCTCCCCCCCTCGCCTTTTGGAGCAAATGGTCCTAACTTTTCCCGCGGAACCCCCCAATCTGCTTGCAGCCCGCGGAAACCACGAGGTTTAGGACTTCTGCCCCTCGGGTTTAATTCTCTGCCGTTTCTCTGCCCCTCTCTTGGCGTGTCTGTGTTGTTTCTGCCCTCTGGGCACACAGACACAGATAAGAAAAAAATGCACTTGTAACACGTGTTAACTAGATTATCAACGGCAAAAAGAAAAAAAAAAAAAATCTGGTGACGTCCGTGTTCCCTGGATTAAATCAGACAGTTTCCCATGGTGTTATATACCATATAGTCTGTGTAGGCTACGGGAAGAGGGGAAAAAAAAGAATTACAATCTTGAGGTACGGCAGAAGGAACCCAGGAGTCAACTGTAACATTGAAGCGTCCGTGTGAATGACAGAAACCATAAATGAAACAAACACACCTTAGTTTGTGCACCAGACCGAAATGTGATAGTCCTTGTTCCCAGAGAGCAAAAGTTGATTCCCCTTTCACACAGAGCTCCAGATAACTTGAGCTGTCGACACGGTATTTATCTACCATATGCGGAGTGGCTAGCCCCTGGGTCTTTTGAAAAGTCTGACATCTTCAGACGTGAGTTCATTTCACAGAGCTCAAAAAAGTCCTTCCCACCAAGCCACCTCTCCCACTTCCTTATTCTGAAGAAAGAACAAAGGCTTCAGGACAGCTGCGGAATTCCTGGAAGTATCGCTCGGTGTAATTCATGGGAGGCGGGAAGAAAGAGAAGCCCAGCAGGTCTGGTCACATTACAGAAGGGTTGTCATAGCTCACCCGTGCCGGGTGCCTGGAGCGCTCCGCAGATGTGAAGTGCCTTGCAGACCTGTGAGGGCGGTAAGGACGCTTCTGGGGGAAAGGGACTGGTCCAACTATTAAATCCATTGTGGCAGTCACAGCGGTATGCTGAAAATGCCAGCTGCCACCTCAGTCCCGTAATCACCCAGCCATCCTACCTGTCTGGGCATGACGTGGCAACTGGAGCAGCTGCCTCTGTTAGGAAAGTGTTCAGTGTATAATGCAGCGATCTCCTTGCCCCCTGCCTGTCCTACATCTCCACTTCACCCCCAGCTTACTGTAATTGGCTGAGCTAATGAATGACAACAGTGTAATGAACTTTATGGATACTGATTTGGAAATAGACCCAAAGAGGTGGCGGGGGGCCTTAAAGACCTTAAAGGTCATCTAATACAACCCTTTATTTTACAGATGAGGCCAAGAAGAATGTTCTTTTCCAAAGTCATTCAGCTGGAGAGAAGCCAGAAAGCTTCACTCTGCAGCTCCCTAGTCCGGATGCTGGAGCCAGTCCATTTGGCTTCAAGTCCCCGCTGGTCACTGACCAGCTGGGAGAGCAGGGTACAGTTCCTGAACCTCTCTTAGCCCCGGGTTCTTCATCTGTGAGATGCACAGTCACAGTGGTTTCCATTTCACGTGGTTGGGAAGAACATAAAAAGAGATGAGTCTTGGGGCACCTGGATGGCTCGAGTTGGTTAGGCTCTTGGTGAAGACTCGTGGTTTCGATTCAGGTCATGATTTCATGGTTTGTGAGTTTGAACCCTGTATTGGGGCCCTGCGCTGACAGTGTGGAGTCTGCCTGGGATTTTCTCTCTTTTCCTCCCTCTCTGACCCCCCCCCCCGCTTCCTCTCTCTCTCTCTCTCTCTCACTCTCACTCTATAAATAAATAAACTTTTTAAAAAAGGAGAGATGACTCTCGTTCAGGGTTTTTGTTGATGATCATATAGTTCAATAAGCATTACCAACGATTGTTCTTATTTCTCTTTAGAAGAATATCCAACATTTTGGACCTTGTTAATGAACTGACATTTTGACTTCTGTTCTTAGTAATGGTGAAGAGAAACCTTTACCCTCTTTAGGCTTTCCAGTGGGTTGCTTTATTTGCGCTGAAAAAGAGGGAAGGTTAAATTCCACTCTTTTCCTTCCCCATCCCTCTCCCTCTTCACCCCAGAAGCAAAATAGAAATATGCTATAGGAAGGGAAGAACTGAATAGCCCATTTGGATGCCTTCACTTCCTTCCATTCTAGCAGAGCCACACCTTTTCTGTAAACGGCATCTTCGGCATCTTCGGCAGTACTTGAGAGCTGGAGTCGGGGAGGGCAGAGGGGGGAAGGGAGGCACGGCTCTCATTGCAGGTTCGGGTGGTTTGCCCCTCTTTTTGCCTTGAGCCTTGAGTCTACAAGAGAGCCCCAATGGAACGCCAATACAAAGCAAAGTCAACACATCTTTCATCATGATTTAGTCGAAGCAGATTGCCTACGGGGCTTCAAGAGGCGCATGTGATTTATAGCTCCAAACAGCATGGCCCCGGAAACACCTCTCTGGTCTGTACTGCCTTATTACAATGGTTTAGATGAACAACCTGAGATTACAGCGTGATGCCTGCTAAGCAGTTAGCCCAGCGGGTAGGTTTGTTTTGCTTGGTATCTGTGGCAACTGAACAGGCACTTTCTTCTAGCAAATAATTGGGCGGGCTAAGCTATTAACTTCCAACCAGTATATTATTTCTGCTCCGTTCACTCCAGTTGGCTTAACCTACTGAAAACTGTCATCCAGTGGACATTTTGTATCACACTCCCCGCCTCTCTCTGCCCCCAGGATAATTTTTAACATCACAAAGGAGAAGATAGCACAGGGAGCAGCTAACTACACATCATCAGCTCAGCTCTACATGAAAACAAAAGGCGATGCTAACTAAAGGTTGCTGAGAACACAGCATATGGCGGGATCTTGTTTCCCTTACAGCCACTTAGTTCTAACCGAGGAGCTATGTGTCAACCACAGCTGAGCCATGAGGGGTAAACATGAATGCTGGTCTCGTTCTCGGCAGGGGCAGGCTTGGAATCCGGACCTGAATCTTTTCCAAGGGCTTATACGTCTTTACCATGGATTGCTCCTCTCAGCTTAATTATTGCTGTTGAATCGTAGCAATGCTTTTTGACGGGTCCCCGCACTCCGCCAAGCGTATACCATTCTGCGTCAGTCTGGCAAGCCCAAATGCTTTGGCTACATGGGAGACACAGAAAACAAACAAGAAAAGATCTCCCAGCAACCAAAACAATGATCACAAATTTGTGGGCTGGATTCACACACTCAAATGTTGTATAGGAAGATAAATGAAAATAGTAAGTGAAGCTGGAGGAGGAAGGGAAAGACACAGCCAGTAAATTCATAAGTGGAAGCTCACACTTGATTAAGGTGTCACGGCCACCGAGGGAGGGTGGGGACCGCTGTGAAGAGGCTAAAGCAAGTGCCCCACCTAAAGGGACCAACTCCTTCTCAACACTAGCCAATAATGCCACGCTCATCATAGGGTCTGTACTAACACCTTTTAAATATTTTTAAAAAAATTTTTTTTTAATGTTTATTATTGAGAGACAGAGAAGGTGCATCAGTGGGGGAGGGGCAAAGAGAGAGGGATACACAGAATCCGAAGCAGGTTTCAGGCTCCAAGCTGTCAGCACAGAACCAGACACGGGGCTCGAACCCACGATCTGCGAGATCATGACTTGAGTCCAAGTGGGATGCTTAACTGACTGAGCCACCCAGGTGCCCCACTCTTCAAATATTTTAAGAGAAGTGAGAAATCTGAATTTTACACTAAAAAAAAAAATTCCCAAAGTCTTTGAATGTTACCAAGTAATTAAGAAATTTTTAAAACACAAGTGCCTGCATGTACATGCACCCAGAAGACCGCATTTCTCCTTCAAGGTGTAAATTTCTCATCTTTGTTTTAAGCATCAAAGGTCATGTACTTTGAGCCCCTCTCGAGTCTTGGGCCATGAGCTCTTAGCATAGATGCGGTCATAACAAAGTTACTCAGAACTAAGCAGATAAGAAGTCACAAATTAAGGAACACCTGGGGGATTCAGTCAATTAAGCATCCTAGTTTCAACCCAGGTCATGATCTTACAGTTCATGAGTTCAAGTCCGGCATCGGGCTCTGTGCTGAGAGTGCAGAGCCTGTTTGGGATTCTCTGTCTCCCTCTCTCCCTGCCCGTCCCCCACTCATGTGCACACATACGCGCTCTCCCTCTCTCTCAAAAATAAGTAAACATTTTTTTTTTAAGTCACAAATTAAAAGAGGGATGTAGCACCGGGACACCCAGCCACCCTGCTGTCAGCAAGGTGATGGACTGCGGATGAGTAGGTTCCAGAAAAAATCCAGAAGCAGAGCACTGCAAGATTATTCAATTAAATGATGGCTGGCATTCATACAGCTCATGTTATTACTGTGGATCAATATATCCAGCATTTGTAAATTACCAAATAAGTTAATGTCTATGAAAGGGCTTGACAATCGTAAAGATCAGGGCCAACATTGGGCCAACCAGATCATCTCTGAAAACAAGCAGAGAACTAACATATGGTAAAAAGGAATATAAGTGTATTTATCTTATGCATACCTGCCGCAGAATCTATTTAAAAAGTCATTTGTGAAGGATGTTTATTCAGAATTTTTTTAATCAACCATTTTCTGCACAAAAGGGGAGGCTTTCAATTATTTAATAAACTCACGATTACGACAAAAAATGTTCCCTTACAGTATTAGGAGATTATGTTGGCCACATATTTCTACGTCAGGCATCAGCATTTTTTTTCTATAAAGAGCCATGTAGGAAATATCTTAGGTTTGTGAGACATTTGGTTTCTGATGTAATAACCACTCACTTCTGCTACCGCAGCATGAAAGTAGCCATCCCATGTGCCTGTGTCCAGCTAAATCTTTATTTATGGGCAGTGATATCGCAAGTTCACACACCTTGCATGTCACTAAATAGTCTTCTTTTGAGTTTTCCAACCATTTAAAAATGTGAAGTCATT